GTGGTCACATTTTATTTTAAGGTCCAATTTTCGTTATTAACAAACCATTAACCACAACTTTTGCCTCAATAAACTCCTAATGTGCTGTTTATTAATAGTTAGTAAAGTAGTTGTTAAGTTTAGGTGTTAGGTAGGATTAGGGATGTAGAATATGGTCACGTAGAATATGTGCTTTATAAGTACTAATAAACAGCCAATATAATAATAATTGGCATGCTAATAAGCAAATAGTTATTAGTGAGAATTGGACCTTATACTAAAGTGTTACTGAGAAAGCAATATTGGTACTGAGTGACTGTGTCTGATATATATATATATATATATATATATGTGTGTGTGTGTGTGTGTGTGTGTGTGTGTGTGTGTGTGTGTGTGTGTGTGTACATATATTCCTGACATATATGGTTGCTACAATAACATCTAAACTTCATCATATAGATGTTATTAACATATGTAAATACACAAATTTTAGTATGAAGATTTTATAAATTATAATGTACATATGTGAAAATGATATATTTCTTTATAAGTAACATTTATGGCAACATCACTCTTGATATGGCAATATATGTATTAAACATTAATACATACATTGAACACAAAACACCCTATTGTTCATTCCTGATAATAAAAAATATATATATGTGATGTGTCATGCAGGGACTTATGGGAAAGAATACAATAGTTTTAACTGGCAAAACCCATAAACTGCAAGCATATATTTCACACACCCATTTGACCCTCAGAGCTGCAGGTTACTGATGTTATATGTCAGTGTAGATAAAGTCCATTCAGACTGCTCTCCTCAGTCTGCTTACTCAAACCCCATTAGTGTATTAATCTGATTTCTGCATCACGTTAACAACCATCCAAAGATTTGAACTGCTGGCACACCTGTTTGATAACATGCTGTCTCAAAAAATATATATATTGGAAAGATTCAACTCTGCTGCCCTATCCTACACAGTCGTGAACTTACATTCCCTGCTAAAATTAATATCAGTGAATCACATCATGAAAACAGATTTGTATAGAGCACATCAGTCACTTTTAGATCACGACTGCGAGTGCAAAATGCTGCAGCTTCAAATAGCAAAGGCTGAGTAAGACAGAAGGAGAACTCGCTTGTGTTATAAGAGATTTTGTCAGGATGTGGGTGCGAGCTAAAATCGAGCTTGGTGTTTAGTGTTAGTTGCAATGATGAAGAAAAAGGTGTTCGAAATCAGTGGGAGCTCTGGTTTTCTCAGTGAATTTGAAGTAACACTTTCTGAACTCAATCAATAACCACCGAATCAGCCGCAGATATCAGAGAGCACATGCTGGTGTTAGATTATCAGATTAGTACTATTGTGTTAACGTGTGTTGTATGGACTGGAATCAGGGGAGTGCAGCCCAGTTGGAGACTAGTGGAAGCGTGATCCACACGAACTTGCAAATATTACACACATTATTTTGTTACAGAACTCTAAAATGCTGAGAATAATCAAATACCTCTTTTCTAAAACAATGACGAATTTGATCCTAAATTTAATAGATTACATCCTTTGTTGAAAATGAGGAACAAATCAGGATTTATAAAGACGAAAACTGACATGAAAATTTTCTCATGTACATGTATATGCCAACAGAAGAGCATGGGCATTTTGAAAACTTTATGGGGCAGGATTATCCTGTAATGGTTGGTCAGACTTAATTCAATTAATGATTAAATAAATCTGTTATGTAAACAAGTTATGACTGCCAATGTGTAAATGACTATATTTCAACAGTTACCTGGAGTATAATTTTATAATTACATTAATAAATAGTTTGAACCCTGATGTTAATTGTGTCCTATAATATTATAGTAGGCTAATGTTCACTCTATAACTTTTAAGAGTATAATGCATTATAACACCAGATGAAGCCTGTATTTATAATGCATCATAAGGGTATTCTTAATGTATTATAATGCATGTATAATGGCTTACAAAATCCTTATAATCTCATAAATAACTGAGGTATGTACCATTACTTTTGTGTAACATTATATGTGAGCATTCCAGATGCAGTTGCTGCATGCACATGAATTTAAGATGAACTATGATGCATTTAGGAAAATGGTCACACTTTAGTTTTGGGACCAATTCTCACAATTAACTAACTATTAACTATGACTTTAGCCTCAACAAACTGCTAATTTAGGTAGCTGTTAAGTTTAGGTATGGTGTCGTATTAAGGGATCTAAAATATGCTCATGCAGAACAAGGCATCAATATGTGCTTTATAAGTTCTAATAAACAGTCAATATGCTAGTAATATGCATGCTAATCAACAACTAGTTAATAGTGAGAATTGACATATGTTCACATTTAGGATCATACTAAATATGCCTTTATAAATGAGGCACCAGGAGTTGTTTTTTTTATCTTTTAGTAGTTGAATTTATTTTTTTATAGGTCTAACAAAGCAAAACCGTAGTATGCCTTTGAACCTGCTAAAGGTACCCTGTACTCCATGGGATACCTTGGTTGAACTAACTGGTATAAAACACTGACCAGCTGAGCTTTAATGATTGAGGTCCAGATTTTGTTGTGATCTATCACTAAATACCAGATCTGTCCTGCTGAAGGTCACTCAAAGTCCCATTACAGATAAGAAATTAACACTCAAAAGTGTGGCTTTCTGTCTCATCTTGACACAAGTTCTCCTAAAACAGCATGTATTAATCATTCACGTCCCAGTGCTGCAGTCCCTTTGAAAAGAGACGGAAAGGCCTTTTAGAAAAGGTCAAACTTTCAAATGGCCGACAGGGAATGAGAGAGCGTTAAGAGATCATTAATCACTCTTTGATTGACACAGAAGTCTTTGTATCGTAACTACAGCAATGTAACCATGCTGACTGTTTTTTAATTATGCTCATTTACAATGAATTCAACATCTTTGATGACTGTCACAGCTTTTTAATCTTGAAAAGGACAGAAGTACCTGCTAAATGAGGTCAACGGTCAGCAGTTTTTAAAAACATTTTAAAGCCTAAGGCCTTTCTTCTTTGGCTTTTTTACTGTTAAAAAGTTTGGGGTCAGAACTTTTTTTAATAAATTAAAACAGTTCATTTATTCATCAAGGATGCAATACATTAAATAGAAGTGACAGCAAAGAAATGTTTAATGTTATAAAAGCTTTCTATTCAGTACATTCTGTTCTTTTCTGTTCTTCTATCCATCAAAGAATCCTGAAAAAGAAGTATCATGGTTTTCAACATTCATAATAAAAAGAAATGTGTCTTAAGCACAAAAGCATCATATTTGAATGATTTCTGAAGGACGTGACACTGAAGACTGGAGTAATGGCTGCTGAATATTATTTAAATATGATATTTTATAATCATATAAAACAGTTATTTTAAACCGTAATAACATTTCACAATATTACTGTTTTACTGTTTATATGATCAAATATATGCAGCCTTGATGAGCATAAGAGACTTCTTTCAAAAACCTTAAAAATCTTACCAACCCTAAAATTTTAATTTTTTTTTCACTATAAGAAAGTGTTTTAGTGAATGCTTACTAATAATATAATATAATATAATATAATATAATATAATATAATATAATGTAATGTAATGTAATGTAATGTAATGTAATGTAATATAATATTATATTATATTATAATAAAAACTAATTTAAATTTACATATAAACATTTCAGTCATGACATCTAGAGTTCATTTAACTATTTATGAGGGTTAACATGCAGTAAGCATTTAATATTTCCTCAAGGTAGAGAAGTGCATACACTACACAAAGATACCAGAGTTCTGTGACACATTTGGTAATTACAGCACATAATCTGAGGGGCTTACAGTGGAGTGGAGCCAAGAGAACAGTCGACAAAACAATGGAACAGCACAAACAAACCTGTTTCTCCAAACAGAGAAGGTAAAGGGGAGAGTGTCAGAGAGAGAGAGAGAGAGAGAGGTAGAGAGATAGAAACCCCATAGGATATGTCTGTGCCAGAGTAAACAAAACATACACGCTGGTCTCCCATCGCTAGAAAACAAATTAAATGGCGGGTAAAGTCTCCCCAGACCGGAAAAAGTATGTTCCATCTAGCTCTGGGAGAAGAATGAAAAAGGCTCTGATTAACATGACATACCCTGACCTAACAAAAAGAAGCAGAAAAAGACATTGTGGTAAATACTAATAGGAGAAGTATTTGACCCAGGATATTATAGCATGAATTATTGATTTGATCGGAGGCACCAGCCTCTTACAGCATGAAAAAAAAAGAAAGAAATCCCAAGTGTTGTTTACTGGTAAGATGAACTCGCTTTCTTTGACATCGTGGGCACCTGTGTAAGAGCAGAACTAATATGAAGATGTGCACTGCAACTCCACTGGGAAATCATTTTATGGGCTATAGGTCATTTTACACAACCTTCTGGTTCCTCCACTACAAAAGTTTTACTCGAGTATGGCTCAAGACTAGGACTGGTACTTATAGTTGGCCTCAGAAAAAGAGCAGTGATCGAGCATCCATCATACTGCTCTTTATCGTGAAATTGATTTAATAATAGTAGCTCTACTATTAGAAGCTCCTCTGGGCTGTGAGATCACACTTGGTTGCTTCATTCAAATTGCTTCTAGCCTTTTGACTGGTTTTAATGTCTTAGCAATTCTCTCTATAGTGTTCACAAAAATGAAAGGGGCAAAATTGAATTATTAAGACCTGTGTCAATAATTACCCTTTAAGAAACTCGTTGAATAGATTCTGGATCACCAATGCCGTTTCAGTGGCCTGATTTGATTAAATTTCATTATAACATACTTCTTTTTTCACATCGAATTGTGTGGTTGGGATTAACCTGATATAAGTAATGTTTGCACAGGCATGGTTGGAATACATTCAGAGGAGCTTTATAAGAATTTCTTTTTTAATAACAGCAATACATGTACTGTATATACTGCAGGGGAAATTGTGTATAAGGTACAAAGGTCACGGGGAAATATTACTTACCCCATTTATTGGGTAGGTCTTCCAGCTTAGTTCTCCCAGCACAGCTGTAGTGTCCAAGAGAATCACTATGAGAAGGACAAAAAAGATAACAACTAGGGTCAACTATAACAGTCTCTAATACACAATGAATAAATATTCAACACTACGGCCACACGAAAAATGAAGAACATTTATGTAGTACATTCAATAAGGTAAATAAAATAAAATGTGAATGTGAAATGTGAAAATGTGAATGAGGTCTGGGTTTGTCAAAAAAAAAACGAACTAAATAAATAAAAAATCATGAGAGAGATACAGTATATTGTCTTGGTCTTGCAAAAATCAATTATTTCAAGTCAATTCTTTTTTTAGTGATTTTTAGAAAGGATTTTAGAAATTTAGTAAGGAAAACATTCATGATATTTTTATAATTATTTTTTTAAAGCTTACATGTCCAGTCTCATTTCATTGTAAATTCACGGACAAAAGTGACCAGCATTCTTCAGAATTTCCCATTTTGATTTTACACAAACTAAAATTCTGAACAACATATTAGTAAATGACAACATTTTCAATTACAGTTGAGCCTGCAATTAAATAAGGATACAAAGAAATTAGTACCAATAATCAGGCAACAAGACTCTTAATGGTCTTGATGTGTTTGACATCATTAACAGAGACAAAATACATTATATCAAAAACCACAGAGGAAGAATTCATAAAAAAAATTAAACCATCCACCACCAATCAGAAATGAACACACTGCATTTAGTCTGCATGATAATAAAATTTCCTCTTTGAAGCCAGTCACATCCACTGCCCCCAGCAGGTGATTCAGTACTCCAAATAAAAAAAGAATAATTTGCTCACCCACATATTTTTGATACGCCAGTTTGATATGATGAATGTGCAATTTCCTTTGTCTCTACACCAGGACTTAATTACAATGTCTATCAATAAAAGCGTGTCACAGGCATAATATACTCGTGACACAAAGTCAAGGTATGTGCCATTCTCTCCTACTTAGCCATAATCCAGTGTTTAAAATGTGGAAAAATAGTGCATTTCTGGTCGAATAAACTTGGACAGTAAGTATGACTCTTGAATTTGGCCTATGAACAAGTGGTCATTATTCTCACTCAGCAAAGCGGTCTGTGTGTAAGACAGCTTTCTGAATATGTGTTGTAATACTGAGCTAATAATCAGCTTATCCATATATGTGTTGTCAAAGAGTTAACGTAATGATCCTCAATGAGTGCCTGTCTGTAGAGAGCCTGCAGACAGGATGAGCACTACTGTTCGCCCTGATCAAATTTGCTTGACAATGCCTGATAATTTTGCCTGGAAGTGATGGATCTGTGCTACTAACACACCCAAACAGAAAAATGTGAATTAGAGGGTTAGGCACTTTGGACACTCATCCTAAATCACATTACACCTCTGTCTAGACCCAGTGTCTCTGTCTCGAGACATATTATCCCGAAATTTCCGCACTCACTTTCTCCCTGACAATGAAGGGAGATTAAACATGTCTGCAAGCATATTGGGATGGAGTGATCGAATTGTAATGACTTTATTAAGAGATATTTACCAGATTAGGCCTAAAGCCAGTCTATGATGCACACTGAACTGGTTAAGGTTAGGTCTCGATGACTGAGTAGAAGTCAAAACCACTTATGTAACCTATAAAAAGTGCAAACTTTAACCCCTTCACACATATGTTTCAAATATTCGGTGCCCCTGGCATGACTTTTTATTAATGTGACCATTTTTTTTAGAACAAATCATGGTACCACTTTATTTTAAGGACCAACTACTTGCTTATTGGCATGCCTATTACTAAAAAACACATAAAACAAAAGTGAGTGGCTATGAACTGAGAGAGGAATAGAGTAAATTTCATATTGACTTCCACAATGTGTGTTTGAAAAATAAACCATGGTAGGATTAGTTTACCCAAAAATGAAAATTCTGTCATTAATTACTCACCCTCATGTCATTCCATACCCATAAGACCTTTGTTCATCTTCGGAACACAAATTAGGATATTTTGGATGAAATCCGAGTCAAGTCCCAGAAAGGTAGTTAGGACATTGTTAAAATAGTCCATGTGGCATCAGTGGTTTAACCTTTATTCTTTATAATCCTTTATAACTTTATTCAACAATTTCTTCTCTTCCGTGTCAGCCTTCGACATGTGTTCACGAGAGTACTAGGGTGAGTAATGACAGGATTTTTTATTGTTGGGTGAACTATCCCTTTAAATTTGAAAGTTTTTTATTTTGATTAGTATTGGCACTTCCATAGATTTCAGTGTGTATTCTTACAAATTATAAATGTTTTTTGCCAGTGACTGAAATTTTAGTATCTGAAAAATGTAGACAAATATTACAATAGAAAAAAAAATAAATGAATTGTTGATGAATATTGATTAAATAAAATAATTTTTGTAAAAAGGGACTTTGAAAAGGGACCTAGATCATATGAGACTCAGACCCCCACAGGGACTAGGTACAGTATGTGCAGTCACCATCATTTACAGGCACATTTCAATCCCTGCCGCATTCCTCGCCACAGGAGCGGTCATATGATCCTGTAGGCAACTGCCATTAACCCACAGGCATATTTAGTACCTGGAATTCCTGTAGCACAACCACCATCTGAGCCTCAAAGACTGACAAGTTGATTGCTAGTTCAACATTAAAAACCTAAACCTGCTCTTCCCAGATTTGACAGTGATAAAGAGCCTGATTTTGCCTTGCTGAAAATGGCTCTACATTGTCTCTTACGGGGACACGCTCATCTCACTGAGCAGTGAATACAAGCTAGCTCATTGTACATGCATGAGCCAACTCCACGACAAACACCGAGAGTGAGAGTGAATCCATTCCAGGAAAAAAAAATAAAATAATCCTTGCGTACAATCTTGAATCATAGCCTAAGATTTTTTTTTTTTTGTACAAAAATATATACAAAAATGAATACTATAATGCTGCAGAAACTCCTTAAAGGCCAAAAATGATATACATAATTTTTTAGGAGGCCTCAGCAAACTTCCAAGGGGTCCTTAGGATGACTTAAACATATTTAAACTATCTATCTATCTATCTATCTACCTTTAAAAGTATTTAAATTATCTATCTATAAACTCTAATCTAAATTACAATTCTAATTAAAAATTTAAGAGCAAAGAGCACTTTAAATAAATAAATATTTTGCTTTCCAGGACAAATATGCTTAAATCAAGATACATTTACTTTAAGATATTTTTAAGGTATTTAATCTTGTTATCTGAAAAAAAGCATCGAAATTTACAGATTTATGCTTAAAACAAGAAAACATATCTTCCACTGAATATATATATATATATATATATATATAAAAAAGATTTTTTTCCACTTTCCTTTTCTAACCCTAATGATATAGTTATATATAAAGTATGAATTCCCTTTTAATCATTAGAAAAAAAGAAAGGAAAAAAAACTTCATATATTAAGTAATTTTGCTTCTCAAGTAAATGTGTCTTAATTTGTACTGGAAAACAAGACAAAACACTGAGTAAGCAAATATCCATCAGTCTGGAATCATTAAGTTTCAATTAATTGTGGTTAATTAGTTTAATGTAGGGATAGTCTGTTTATAAAAATAGTAAGCATAATAATAAGGATGAGAACCAGTCATATCTTCCACTGAATATATATATATATATATATATATATAAAAAAGATTTTTTTCCACTTTCCTTTTCTAACCCTAATGATATAGTTATATATAAAGTATGAATTCCCTTTTAATCATTAGAAAAAAAGAAAGGAAAAAAAACTTCATATATTAAGTAATTTTGCTTCTCAAGTAAATGTGTCTTAATTTGTACTGGAAAACAAGACAAAACACTGAGTAAGCAAATATCCATCAGTCTGGAATCATTAAGTTTCAATTAATTGTGGTTAATTAGTTTAATGTAGGGATAGTCTGTTTATAAAAATAGTAAGCATAATAATAAGGATGAGAACCAGTGATTTAGATATCCTTGACAATGTCACAAATTCTCCCCACCATATAAAAAACGGTGGTCTTTATAGTGAATTATTCGCCAAACAAAAAGGTCAATGAACTGCAAGTGTCAATTAAATAAGTCATTTGATAATGGAAAAAAAGAGGAAAACTTCCACTGACAACTGTACAACAGCTTGAAATTAAAACAGTACAGCAAATTCAAATTACCAGCCCTTAGAAATAGATAATGGGGCTGGCAAGAGTAATGCTGCCAATGGCAAGGCGCTTTCCAGATGGGACTATTATTGATGGTCTTCTTAGAAAAAGCAAAGCGGGTTGTCTTGCTGCAGCCGAATCTTTATAACTAGTGTTGACAAGATCCGCAAGCTTCATTTCAAACCAAATCAGCTGCTGAATGTTTGTTGTCTCTCTCCCTCCACCTCAGCATGGAGAGTGAGACATCAACAGAGACACATCAGAAGTGGCAGCTAGCGCCTATGTCTGTCTGTAAAAATCTGGAGTCCCTAAAGTAGGCCACATGGAAAGGAGGAAAGGATAAAAAAAAAGAAAACAAAAGGCAGATGGAGAAAAACCTTGAGTATCTGGGCTGCCTCTATAGCTTCGATGTTTCTTTGATGTGTCATATCAGAAGATCTGGATCGTGTTTTTAAGCAGTTGATGACTGGATCCCAGTACAGAACATCCCATTAAGTGACACATTTAAAGGCTAAATCTAAATCTAAACCCATTCAGAGTGAACACAGCTTTAAGATATGTTTATAGTTAAGTTTCTTCTCATTAGTCTTTAGTTTGGGAATTAGGCTATACTGTAGGGCTGCCACTAACGACTATTTTTATTTCGATTAATCTATCAACTAATTTATCGATTAATCTAAATGATTAATTTCGCACAAACAAATCAACAATTTTACTTAAGAATATTTTATTAAACTATATTTCATTGAACCAAATGAAATCCAAAAGTAAAAAAGTAAAGTGCAACATAAAGTGCAAGAAGCAAGTGTCCATCTCATAGTCCAAATCACTGAAATTAAAGTTCAGTATTATAGTGTAAGAATGATAACATATC